CGCGGCCGTGTCGGCCTGACAAGGTTGGGCCTAACACAGAGAGTGAACGGCAAGCCCAGGTGCAAGGCAATCGGACAGGGCAGGGGTGGTGCGACGCTTCAGCTGTGGTCCTGCATCCGGCGGAGCAGCAGGTGGCTCCTGCTGCGCACAGTGGATACGCTGCCAGCAGGCAGCAGTGGGTGCAACACCCAGAGGCTGCAGGAAGTGGAGCTGCTGGCGTCCGCCCGTCTGGGGCCAATTCCAGCGGCGCCCCTCATGCAAACAGGCGGGCCGTTGGCGAGCGTGGCCAGGTGTTGCAGCACAGCCCACCTCGCCACGTGAGCGGGGTGTCACGGGCTTGGCACGTCCGCGCACCGCCAGCTCTGCAGGCCATCACACCCCAGCCAGCTGAGGCGCTGATTACACGTGCAAAGGTCCAAGTGCAGCAGCAGAGGAGGCAGCAGCAACAGGAATATGGGGTTGAGCAGCAGGAGGGGAGACAGCAGCAGCAGCTGCTGCAACAATGTCGTGAGTTTGAGCCGCGGCAAGGGCAGCCGCGGCAGCAAGCAGCACAGCCTCAGGTCTTGCGGAATGGTTCACAGAAGCGGGCTGCTCAGCATCCAACTACCACCCAACTCCCGCAGGCATCTGCGGAGCATCCTGCGACATGCTGTCATGTCAGGCACATGCCTGGACAGGCAGAAGGGCCAGGATTTGCTGGGGAGGCATCTGTGCCAACTGGGAGGCAGAGCCGGCTTGCACAGGGGCGCGAACAGCAAGCATCAGCAGCGGCAAAATTGCAGCAGGGTCGAGTCCCGCAGCTGCAGACGACATCAGCAGCACTCACAGACTCAGCCAAGCTCGGCCCCTCCACGGCCAGCCTGAGGTGTGTAGTGCGCCAGGCCCTTGCCCTACCGCCACAAGCTGCGACCGCGCCTCAGCTGGAGCTGCCACGGATTGTTCCGCGGTCCTTCCGAAATGCCAACGAGCGCTGCCACCGGGTGCTTTACGGAGCTCGCGAGGCGCAGGAGCAGGCCACCACGCAGGCGGCCCTCAAAGCGCTAGCAGAGCGCATGTGCAGAGGCCCGCTGGCACCAGCTGCCTCATCACAGCCAGGTCCGCCGGCACATCAGCAGCAGGAGCAGCAGCGTTACCACGATCACAGTCACCACATGCAGCTGGAGCAGCACATGATGCAGCCGCATGGCAGCTTTGCAGCTGCAGGTAATGCGGACCTGGCAACAAAAACAGCAGCCGCAGCAGCAGCAGCAGCAGGCGGGGCACCCGCAAAGTGCGCGCCTCTCAGCACAGACGAGGTTTTTGGAGACGCAACAGCCACCGGGCTGCGTAGCGCGCAGCCTGCCTCAACGGATGCTGACACCTGGATGGGAGCTCCTGCAGTGCATGTGGATGACAGTTCGGTGCCGCCGCCTCACCAGCAGGCTGAACAGCAGTGGCGGCCTCCCCCTGGCAACCTGCAGGAACAGCTCTTGCGACACGTCTACCAAAATTATGGTCAGGAGCCGCAGCAGCAGCTGCCGCAGCAGCAGCAGCAGCAGCAGCAGCAGCAGCAGCAGCTGGAGCACAGCTCACCTGGCACAATTCCCGCGTCTCTGCCCCTCGATGAGCAGGCACCTGTCCACCACTCAGACACCACTGCGGGGCCAGCGGCAGGCATAGTAGCAGCTTTGCCGCCTGCAACACAGGCGCCTGTTGCCCAGGTGGCAGGTGCCTGCGGGATTGATTGTGCTGAGGCCCAGGCGCCTTTTACTCAGCCCTTGGATGAGTGGGAGCTGCCACCCCACAGCCAGTGGTACCCAAGTTGGACAGAGGACAGCCAGGCAGCAGAGGGACATGCAGCTGTGCCGGCGCCGCACGCGCCGCACTGCAAGCAGCCAGTACTGTGGCGGCAGCAGCAGCAGCAGCAGCAGAAGCAGAAGCAGAAGCAGCAGCAGCAGCAGCAGCAACAAGAACAAGAGCAGCCGCAGCAGCCGCAGCAGCCGCAACAGCAGCAGCAGCAGCAGCAGCAGCAGCAGCAGCAGCAGCAGCAGCAGCAGCAGCAGCAGCAGCAGCTCGGGTGCTTGCCGCGAAGTGACAGCGATCCTGCAGAGCTGCTGCGGGGCCTACTGGCCAGTGGTGTTGTGTGCGAGACAGATGACCTGCCCCCCTGGCTGCACCTGGGCCAGGCCTGCCAGGACGATGTGCCCGATGCGCATCGCAAGGCACCGCCAGTTGACACAATGCGCGAGTTCGCAACTGAACAAGCACCAGTAGCCGCAGCGCACTCAGGTGCCAGGAAGCGGTCCATCAATGAGGTGGGATGCGAACCGCCGGCTGTTGCAGTGGCTGGGCCGTGTCTGGTTGAGGCTTCCGCTGCGCCAGCGCCGGCTCTGGCGGATGCACCCGTCGAGGCAGCAGGCAAGCATGCCACAGCAGGTGTGAAGGCTCCTAAGGCGCAGGAAGGGCTGCAGCCCAAGGGCATGCGGCACGCCTCGCTGTCCAGCCGGCCATGCTCGCGGGCCCCATCACACAGCCCTGACGTGAGGCCCTTCAAGCGGCTGCGTCGTGTTTTGCAGGATGCGGTGGAGGTGATTTCAGCAATTGAGGCGGAGAACGTGGCATGCGAGGGAATAGGGCAGGGCAAAGAGACACCCGTGCCGGAGCTGGATCGGCAGGTTGGCCCCGGCGCCCAGGGCGTGCACAGCGGCGGTGCGGCAGCGCAGCTCGCATCTGCACCTTGCCCTGAGCCAGCAGGGGCACCACCCAGCAGCACTGGATGTGCGCATGACAGCTGTGGTGTGGTGACTAAGCTGCAGCAGGTGGCCAGCTTTGCGTCATCACTGGGGCTGCAGCTGCCGTTCAGCGCGCTACAGCAGGTGGCAAACCTGGCATTCGCAGAGGCTCCGCCATCGACCGGCGGCTCTACCCATGGAAACCATCACCACCATCACCAGCCGCCGCCGCCGCCGCCGCAGCAGCAGCAGCAGCAGCCCGACCATGTTGAAGCAGCAGGTTGGGCGTCAGCAAAGGAGGAGCGCAGGAAGCGAGTGCGTGCTAAGATAGAGGCGGTGATGCAGCATGTGTCGCTGTTCGCCTTTTCGGACGACAGCAACTCCGACGCTGATGGTGGGCAGATAGTGCGTTGCGCCGCACTGTTGAAGCCAGGAGCAAAGCTGGCATGCAAGGTGGCATTGGCTGTTGTTGCTGCTGAAACCACGTGGTTGATTGGTTGGGTGTGCGCAACGCGAACACGGCTTCCAGCCTGCTGAACCTCCCGGCCATCTTCGCCCCCTACCCCCTCCCTCCTAGGGCCGCCTCAGCTGGCTCCGCAGCAGCGCACACCGCTGCCGACGCCTGTCGTGCCCACTCACAGCCACACCGGCTCCTTTGAGTTCCCCGCAGGCCACCCTCGGCAGTCTCAGGCCGTCACACCTTTTCGGCACCCGACGCCGCGGGCCCCAAGTGGCGCATCGCACGGCAAACCGCCTATGCAGCAGCAGCAGCAGCAGCAGCAGCAGCAGCAGCAGCAGCGACAACAGCAGCAGCAGCAGCAGCAGCAGCAGCAGCAGCAGCAGCAGCAGCAGCAGCAGCAGCAGCGACAACAGCAGCAGCAGCAGCAGCAGCAGCAGCAGCAGCAGCGACAGCAAACGCTGTTGCAGGTACAGGGCGGCAAGGCAGGGCAACAGAAGGCGGAAGGGCTTGACAGTGCCATCACCGCGTCAACATCCATCTGCGCCAGCAAGCCAAGAGGTACATTGGTGGGTGTTTTTGGCAGTGCCAACAGCGCGCACGCCAGGCTGCTTATGGAAGCGGCGCCAGGACTGGTTCAGACAGCCAATCCCCGTGTCAGATCACTTCCTACTCTGCAGCGGCCCAGTGCAGGCACACTGGCTGCAGCAGCTGCTAGCGAGGCACAGGACAGTGCGGCAGCGCCAGCGCCTTCACTGTCCATGTGGGCGCCTCCTCACAGGGCTGCTGGCAACGACGTGTGCAGTGACGGCGGTGCTGGTCGTGGTGTCGTCGTTCTAGGGGCCGGGCGTGGTCAAGGGGGCGGCGATGCGCCCAAGCAGGCGGATGGTGTTCTTCTTCGCGCCAGCAACAAGACAGCCATGCGGCCACCAGGGGCTCCGCCTGGTGGCGTGCCGCTACCCAGAGGGGGGAAGAATGCTGCAGCAGACAATCTGCTGTGTCAGCCCCTGACGGCGTCGGTTCGGCTTCTTCAACAGCCCGGCTCTCATTCTGCCTGGGAGGGGCAGTGCGAAAGAGGGCGCAGTGGCAGCGGTGTCCAGCACCTGCTCCCCACGCTTTCGGCAACGCTTCAGGGGGGTCCGCGGCAGCAGCCTCGGCAGCAACAGGAGCGAGAATCTACGCGGGCGCTGCAGAGGCCAGGTGGGAGCATGGCTTGCACCCGCGTTTTACAGCAAGCAAGACGTGTCATGTGTATATCGTCCGTACTGTTGCGACTGCGCTCAATCCATTTTCGCCTGTCGTGGTCTCGGGTCAATCAGACTGCTAAATATCTCTTCCTTGTGCGCGCCTGCCCTGTCCTTCCTGCGCTTATCCTGCCAGGCACGTCAACAATGGCTGGTGTGCTCTCACTATTTGACGGGGTGGCATGACTTGACGATGCGGCAGGGTGGGCCGCTTTGTGGCGGGAGGAGAGTAGCAGATACATTGGCTGCAGGGTGGCGTGGAACTGACCCCCATTGATACGAGATCTTGATCACAAGCCTCAGCCAATTTTGCAGCTGAGATTGCAAGTTCAACATGCAACCACAATCGGCCTATCTTTCTTGCAATAAAAACATTGATGCAATCCACTGTAGCAGGGAGGGGGAAGAGTTACAATCTAATGAGCAATGACAAAGTTGCTTTAGGGCAAAAGCAACTGGTGCGGCAAGCTGTGGGGTTCCATACACCGGCTGCCGCATCACTGCCATGAGGGCAGATCGGTTTGCCATCAGGGCCCATGTACATGCCCGGCCACGCAGTCGCTACAGCACACGCGAAAGGACGTCGCTTCATGAGTCCCCCCTCTGTTTCAATGTGATCTTGTCCCTGCGGCATGAAAAGCAACAAGCAGGTGGGGAAGTTAAGTTTCTGCAGCAACAAACGCAGTGAAGCCTGGGATCACGATGCATTGCAGGCACGCTGATTGCCGTGCACGCGTCGCAGTGTCCCATCAATCCTCTGGAGGTGGCCCTGTGACAAAGCCCTGCTGGTCTGCTGCCCGCTCGCAGTCCCTTCCAGGCCCACCAATCCTTATCCCTGCTTTCGGACCATCCCGACCCTACCAGCACGCACCCGAGGGACAGGGCTATGCCCTGTGTCTTGCTGCGGATGCGGATGTACCCCGCCAGCTTCCCCTCTGCCGTCTTCTCCACGCTCACGTTGACCAGCGCGTCCTCACCAAACACGGACCTGGTGCAGGAACAGGAACAGGCGGCTGTGGGACGGCTGCGAAGCAAGACTCAACATATGCTTCACCCACAGCGCAAGCATGCGTATGCACACGCGTCCACACACGCGGCGCGCGCACCTGGCGTATAGGTTTGCCGCCAGGTAGCCGCAGTCGCCCTCCAGTGCGCGGGGTGGTGTGAGGCACTTCATGTTGGTGGAGGCCACTATGTGGTCCAGGAACAGGTTGACGTCCGGGATGGTGGTGTTGACGGCCACCTGGGGGTGCGGGGGGGAGGAAGGCATGCAGCCAAAGAGTCGGGGGAGGAGAGCCGATGTGAGAGATCTGGAGGGTGGTGGGCGCGGGACTGGAACAACGTGAGCTCAGGCAGCTGCAGTGAAGCACAGCTGGCTGCATTGTTGATGCAACATGACACGCCCTCGCCCAGCCCGTGCTTGCTGCCTGCCGCAGGCATGCCCGGGCCAGCTGATCAGGTCGCAAGGCCCAACCGCAGCCCCACCC